ATATATAAAACACTGGAAACTAAGAAACATTCATGGAGTAAAACTGTCATTTTGGGGTTTTGTTTTGTTTCGCTTTTTTAGACAGGGTCTTGCTTTGTATTTCAAGCGGCCTTGATTTAAGATACAGCCCAGACTGCCTGGCCTTGAACTCACAGCGATCCTCCTGCCTCAGTCTCCTGAGTGCTGGGATAACAGGCGTATACCACCACACTCGTTCTTTATTTAATAATCATGAAACCATTTGTAAAAGCTCTTTTAAAATGACTTTCAATGTTGAGACGTGTGCACAGGTACTTCAAATGTTTAATCCATATGGAGCACAGCACATAATCTTTAAAATCCTTTTATACTAACAGCTCATCTAAGGTAACATTATTCAAATAAATGCTATATTTTATAAAATAAATAAGATTCCTACTTGTTAGTCAGTGAGCCTTAGAATTACCTCTTCTTTTCATGATACATAAATGTGTTGATGATTCTAATACTGGAGACTCCACCAATACAGAATCTATCCTTTATCTTTAACAACATGTATGAGAGACATACTGAACTACGAGACAAAAGTAGTTCTGGAATCTGTGACCAGAACCTAAATCTGGCACTAGAAGCCAAAACTGTAACAAGTTAGAGGCAAAGAGAAGCTGACCCCACAGTGAAATGACAATGGTCAGGCCCATACATACAGTGGCTGTCCTCAGCTGCATGGGTGACCTTTACACAGGGCACATGCCAGCAGCCAGACTGCACACCGAGAAGGGACATCTATTTCTCCTTTTCAAAAAGCCTACGCTTTCTTATAGAAGACTGACAGCAAATCACATAGGAGTGAGATCTGCATGCAGAAAAAAAAAAAATTTTACTATAGTCAATTCCAGGCTTTCGTGAAATTCCAAGCTTTTTCTACCACACAATAAGAACACTGTCAGTAGCTCAAAAGGGGAATAAGATAAAACTGCATGCCTCGAAATTTCATCTATTTCGCCTATTAAAGTATATAATGTTCAAATTCTATTGTGCCCTTAAATCACACACACACACACACACACTTAAATATGGCATGGTTTCTCTTTAATGAGAAACCCAAAATATAAGAAAAGACCAAAATAAAAGACAAATAATAGGAGATAGGGAGACACATCTTTTGCCAAAGGGAAAATGAGGGAGAGGAGAAGAGGATGAAAAAAAAAGAATTAAGATGTGTTATGTATACGCACCAATTCTCCGCGAGGAATGTAATCACTCTGTACTGCAAACATGTACTAATAAAAATTTTAAATGATTGTACGGAACCTTTTAGAGGTGGGGTCTACTGGGTGATACTCATGCCAACTGAAGGCCTGTCCCAGGAAGGGATTGGGATTGGGATCCTGGCCTTGAAGTGGTTGCTTTCTTACACTCTAGCTCTCTCTCGTAACATCTGTCAGGGGTCCATTGCCAGAGCCAGCACTATGCTGTTTGGACTTTTCGTCTCCAAAATTGTGAGCTAAAAAAACCTCGTTTTTTTTTTTTTAATTAAAAAACTACACTGTCTTAAATTTCATAAATCATGACTCACAGTATGAAATATAATGTACATCATAACCAGTATATGTGTCATACAAATGCAATTTAAAACAAAATTTTACGTTTGCTGTACATAATAAAATATAGTAACTTTCTAGTTCATGTCTTCTTTCTTAAAGACATAGCACAAACTGACTTCACAACAGAGTAAAGTAATGGGTCACAATCCAGCTTAAGAAACACCACAATGTATGTAAGTACATGGGGGCTGTTACCTTTCTAAACCACAGTTCATGCCATTCTCGACTATGCACCCCCACCAAAGCCACCCCTCACCACCCCGCCATTCAGGTTCTCTTTTTTTTTACATTCAACAATGAGATCCTAAAGCATGCAGAGCTCTTTTCTGTTTCAGGGCTCTTGATCTTGGTTGTCCTGCATGAAACACTGTCTCAGATCTTTGTTCTTTATATCACTAAGGTCTCAATACAACAATCCTCTACTCCGAAAAACCTTCAAGTACCATCTGCTTTGAAAGAATCCCCAGTAGACATCCCAGCCAAAGAAAGTGCTAAAAGGGATTAGGTTTTTTTTTTTTTTTTTTTTTTTTTTTTTGATACTGGGATTGAACTCGGGTTCTTGCACTTGCAAAGCAGGCCACCAAAATGCTGAACTAAATCCCCGGCCCTTAAAAGGGTTTAGGAAGGAGCTACAGATAGAATTAAGGAGGTTCAGGGGAGGAGTTCGCTACTCTTAGCATTGCTGGAAAGTCTGAACGGCAGATATACATACACACAACACACACAAGCAATCAAAATTTATCAAATGTGAATTCACCTCCCTATCCCATTGTACTACTCAGTAATTTCTAACTATTGCAATTCTATTCCATTTACTTCATGATAACATTTTTGTGACTCTCTGATTAATGTGAGGACTCCATCTTCCAGTCTCCTCAGATACTTTGAATTCTTCCAGACCATTTAACATATTTTTTCTTGTTTTCTTTTCATTCAGCAAATAGCTGAGTACCTAACATGATCTAAGGAGTAGCAGTGTAAAATAAACATTACTCTAACAGTTCACAGTTTAGTAAGTTCAATTCAGAGCTATAAGGAAGTAATTTCAACTGAATGAGGCAAGTAGAGTAAGAAAGTTGTGTGCTATATGAAATGGTTAAAAAAAATGCACAGTCAATCCTCTTTGAGAAAGGAGGAAGGTTTATAGAAGAAGAGACACCTGACCTACGTGTGGAAGGATTAACAGAACAGTAGGCAAACAAAGCGGTAATGATAGAAGTAGCAGGCAGGTATGATGGTGACACCTCTAACCCTAGGACTCAGGAGGCGAGGCAGGGGGACTGGAGAGTTTGAGTTCAGCCAAGACTACATAGCAAGCTCAAGTCCAGCCTGGAATAGCAAGACCCTGTCTCAAAACAACAACAACAACAACAACAAAGACAGAAGGAGCAGCAAAGAAAGGGAGGGATGGGAGAAAAAGATGAAGTGAAAGTGGAAAGGAGACTGTGAGGGAAGGAGAAGTGAAGATGGTAAGGAGTGAAGAAGCCAAAAGAGGGTACTAAGGAGGAGAGGTCACTACCAAAACACACTGTATGCGTGTATGATGACGTCACAATGGAGCCCGTTATCTTTTACAATATGTGCCAATAACTATAATTAAATTAAATAGAGTCATCAGTGAGTTAAGCCTCTGGAGTTTGTTGGCCATTTAAAGCTCAGGCAAAGCCAGTGAAAAAGGGGATGAATGACCACAAATCTCAAGCACTTACAAAGTCCTCGGAAATTTACACGCAACTTCATTGAAGATACTAGCTTTTTGTTGTTTGCAATACTGGGGATTGAAGCCAGGACCTCTCACGTGATAGGCAACCACTGTACCGCTGAGTTACACCCCCACTCCTTTGAAGTCATTAGAGAGAAAGCCAGATAACAGACTTTAGAAGATGGAAAACAAAAAGAGGTAAAAGTTAATACAACTAAAAGAAAAAAGACTGTGCTTTCAAGCAGTTTATTGAAAGGAGGACTGGACAAAAACTGAGTAAACTGAGGATGAAGAAACTCTTATTTAATTTTCATAAAATGTATGGCTTGAGAACTGAGAAAAAACTAGAGAGGAAGAGGCTGAAAACACAGGAAATAAAAAAATAACTGGAAGCAAAATGCCTTGTAATAGAGGGGAGCAAATGAGGTCAAGAGTAAAGGAGGATGGATTATCTTTCAACACCTCCTTCTCTACACTAGAAACACAAGAATAAAGAAAGTAAAAATATTGATCAATATTTAGGTTGGAACATGACGCTGAAGAAAATGCCTAATAGACTCTGTTGTCTGCTTGGAAGAAGAGAGAAAAGAGGGGAAAGGACAGAGCTTACAAAGTGAGGTTTGAAAAGGCTTCTACAGGAAATGGTTAGGGACAGACTGAGGCAACAACAACAAAAAAATCATCAAGCAATAATGGAATGAAAGGGTGGTAGGTAAAGGCTTTACTGCTAAATCAATAGCTATGCTCACCCGATCTGGGAGCACTGCTCTTGCTATCCTCCAGTCTATTATCCCTCGTGTTGAAAAGATACAGTGATTCCATGAACTAACCAGAGCCTTGAGGTTCTCATTGAGTGAATTAAAATCACTTATAGGCTTATTAAAAAAGAGCCCCATTCCTGCTCATTCATAATTTCTGGCCCCAAATGCTCAACCAAATGAATTCCAGAAGCTCTGTTTGAGACTGAGACATTCCTGTTTCAATGCACATACTAGGGGCTGCTCAGGAGGCTGAGGCAGGAGAATTTCAAGTTTAAGTCCCACCAGAGGAACTTAGGTAGATCCAGTCTCAAAAAATAAAGAGGTCTGGAGAAGTACCTCAGGGATAAAGCGCTCCCAGATTCTATTCTCAGTACTGGAGTAGGGGTAAGGGGTAGAGAGCTTGCACCTAGAAGGTAACCAGCTGACTAGAAAGTAAGCTGAGCCAACATGCCTCTGTTGATAAATGGCCCTTATACGGGGTAAGACATTGCTCCACCGCTCAGGGCAGCAAAGACCTAAGAACTAGTGTGGAGACAGTCACGTTTAAACCACCACTCGGTCTAATGAAAGCACACACACACACACAGCAAAAGATGAACAATACAAACATTTGGGCTTATTCGGAATAATGAGGACACTAGGGTGCTGCCAGAACCAGAGAGAGCAAGAGTGCAGGGACTGCAGAGGAGGGTGACTGGCACAAGGGACCCTGGCGCTTTTGGGTGCCCGCGGCGGCGTAACCCGGGCCCCAGAGCGCCCTGCCGGCTTCCCAGAACTCACCATGCTTTCAGGATCTCAGCACCAGGACCGAGGTACCGGGCAACAGAAGACCGCGCCGCCGGAACGGCCCTTTGGTTACTCTGGCAACCGAACTCCTCCTGCAACTGGACAACGCCGGCCACGCAGTCCCACCTCCCCTTGGTCTCCCGTGGCTGAGCGTCACTTCAGAGCCGCCCATTCAATCTGCAACCTTGCCTAGGCTCTCTGTCGCCCGGGGCTACAGGACGCCGCCTTCCACGTACCACCATCTCCACTTCCGTTCGGCTGACAGGTGACCCGGAAATGAAAGCGAATAGGTGGGAAGCCTCCGAAGATTGCTGGTTTTTAAATGTTTAAAAAGGTATCTGTTCACTTGTCACTTGCTGAGGCACTATACCGTAGGTTTTGTGCTATTGGAGGTTAAACGCCCCACAGAACCCGTTTCTTCCCGTTTGGGAACAGCGTTCCGGAAACGAAACCCTGAGGAGCCGGAAGTGACCATAGTGAGCGAGCAGCTGGGCGTCCGGAAACCCTGGGCGGGTCGGCTTCCGGGCGGGTGAGGAGCTGCAGAAGTCAGCCCGGTGACAGGTAGGCTCAGAGGCTGTGAGGGAAGCCGCCGGGAACAGGGAGAATAAGAATCATAGAGGTAAATCCAGAATGGGTTTCTGTAACTCGGGGAGGCGGTGTTGGGAAGCAGCGAATGGAAGTCAGCTGTTGGCCATTATCTTTGGATTTAGGGAAAGATTGTTCGGGAAAGGCTTCCTCAGACAGAGGTGGAACTTCAGATCCGGCTTCCCGGCACAGGGAAGGTTGACAGGCTCGTCGGTCCTTGCTTATTGCTGTCACACCCGAAACGCACCCTTCCCCTCCCCTTCACTTGAGAGTTTGGGACAGACTTCGCTGTGCTCCACGATGTGGCCCCATCATCTTCCGACCGAGCGTGTGTGTGTGTGTGTGTGTTGGCGGGGGGCTCGGACACCGAGCGTGTGTGTGTGTGTGTGTGTGTGTGTGTGTGTGTGTGTGCTGGCGGGGGGCTCGGACACCGAGCGTGTGTGTGTGTGTGTGTGTGTGTGTGTGTGTGTGTGTGCTGGCGGGGGGCTCGGACACCTATTTTCAAAGCCAGAAAGCACAATTGAAGAAGAGTTTGTGACTGTTAAGGAAGTGAGTCACCGAGGACGCCGTGCAAAATCGTGTAGAGATCCATAATGATCACTATTTCCTGGTGAAGCCAGTTGTCCTGCAGTGGACAATCCATCGTGTTGCAATAACGTCTTCCTTCCCTAGTCCTCTGGGATTCTTGAGTCAGCCCTGTAAGGTCGTGCATATATTTCTGCAAGCATCAGTCTTAGCTATACCATCTTAGTTTTAAACATTTTTATTTTTATTAGTACATGATTGCAGTACATAGTGATTACATTCATCGTGAGAACTGATACATGTACATAACCCCTGTTAATTCTCTTACCTTTCTCCTCCCCACCCCTCCTTCCATCTCTTGTCTCCTCCTCATTTACCATTTTAGTTTTATTACCAAAATAAAGTACATATTCAGTATTATTTCAGTCTCTTGTTAAACATCTAAACAAGCTCCTCTCTGATATAAATATATAGAGAGAAATTTGTGTCAACGTTTCCTGAGTTACTACTTTTAAATTCCTATTGTCATAGCAATGATACATAAGTCCCTACAGTAACTTCAGTATTATTTCTAAAGTAAAAATTCAAGATACACCTCTGACAACTTAGAATGTAGTCGTAAGGGTGGTGAAACAGAATATTTAAAAGTAAATCACATTGTGTAATTTTTTGAGACACTTCGTAGAGTTAACAGTACCACCCATGAGAAAGGAATATAAAGAACACTTCCCTTTCTAAATGATAGGTACTAAAGGCAGGAGCAATTGAAATATAACTTTTGAAGTAGAGGCATGCATTGAATGTGTTTATGTGATATCATTTTAATTCCTTCATTATACACTTCTAGGTTTCTCTGTGGAAGTCTTGGTGTACATTTTTATTAAGAAAAAAAATGACTACTCTTACAAGTTTAGAAACCAAAGGTAAGTGTTCTTATTTTGATGATAATTGTTTTTAAAGCATAAGATTTATGATGATATGAAGGAAAGTTTGAGCCTGACTAAATCTCATAGGCTTCTTGGGAGTCACTTGAGCTCAGATCTCTTCATGTTTATTTTGTAGTGCAGTGTTTGTTTTATAACTCAGATATACAATTGAATGTTATCATCTTTACATGGTTTTTATTAGATAATTACTCACTTTTATTTGTTTGTTTTTGAGACAGGGTCTCACTGTGTAATTGAGACTGACTGAAACTCACTAGGCTGGTCTCAAACTCACAGCGATCCTCCTGCCTCAGCTTCCCAAGTGCTGGGATTACAGGCATGCGCCACCATGCCCAGCTCACATGTGGCTATTTAAATTAACATTTTTAAATTAAAAATTCAATTCTCAATCTCAAGTGTTCAGTAACCAAATGTGGCTGGTGACTGTTATCTATCATTGTAGATTTTTTTTTTTTTTTTTTTTTTTT